CAGTCAATCAGAAACCCGGATTCATGCCTTCGAGGAAGGTCCCGTTTGAACGCTCACATCGTTTTTTTTTTTCGTTTGGGGGAAAACTAAAACTGGTCGCAATTTTCGAATAAGAATGAGTCGGCAATTTTTAGTGGAGTCGAAAATTTGGAGGTAAATAAAACACCGAAACCCGGCAAATAAATAGCCAATCGAATTTTTAGAGGGGTCGAAATTTTGGAGTTTTCACGGTACTAATTATTCCATTTCAATGAAACTTAGTACAAAGATGCTCTAGGACAATGTACAAACCTAATTAGTTTGGGGTAAAAATCTGTTCATATTAATTCCCTAATAAGCATAATAATTCATAATTTTTTGGTTCTAATCACATTTCAATTAAACTTGGAGACATAGATTTTCTGTTACATTCCGCAGACCTCATTAGTTTTACACTCAAATCTGGTCATATTAATTTTCTGATTTGCATAATTAGTTTTCAGCTAAGTAATTTCGAATTATATTTAATGTGTCTCCAATACTCTCAGCACATGGGAGTTCTTTCTAAGCTTTCTTTGATTTTATGTGGTATCTTGGACGTGCTCTGTCAGTTTTCATTCAAATTTGGCACATACATGTACTTTATACGTGTTAGAATGCATGTCCATGACAATTTGTTTCAAAATCTGGTCAAGAATGGCCGATTGACAGCCATCTGACTTTTTGGCCTTACTGCTATATTTCCTCAATTTATGTACCATATTCATTCGTATTTGGCACATACATCATACATATCAGTGTGTTTCATAATCAGATCAAAGATGGCCGAATAACGGCTGTTTTTATTTTTGGCCATATTACTACTACATGGAACACCTGTTTTGATGTAAATAAACAATCTGTTGTATATGCCACTTGGAACACAAGTTTCAAGGACACGCTCGCGACAACCCCTCTGCTTTAATATGACGAGCACAAAGTACCTTAAAAAATTTAACGAGGACTGTCATTTTCAATGACTTGTTCTGTATGTATTTGGATGTATGTATTTTTTAAAATGGCATGTGGGTGTTTCACAGAGTAAATATAACAGTGACATAGTTTTTCAACCTGCAAAAAATATGAAAATATTATGCTATTGCCAAAGATAATTTGCATGTTTGTTATTCTTGCTTAGGCAGGATAGTGTGCACATTTTCAGAGGCTGGTACGAGTTAGTTAGAATTAGAATTTTTAGAAGTTAGAATTTTTACATTGCGAGTTGGAAACATTGATGTTTGGTACACCGCGACTCTGCACGTTTGGAACGTTTAAAATCTGTCCCACCATCCAGTTTGTTGACCCTAGGTCACAAGATATGGGAAAGCACACAAATGATGAACGCGCAAACTCTATCAATGTATGGTGAGGTATACACATGTTCCTTTTGTGATCCCAATACTTGTATGTACATTTTGTATGAGACCTAAACTGTGGCTCTGAGTGTTGATATGAATATATTGAAGAAATCTAGGGTAGGTTGGCACCCCCTCATTTGTGAGTAAAGCAATGATACAGATTTGTTATTACCATTCTACATGCATGTATTGCCTTCTTCAAATCTGGCACATGTGCAGTCAGTGAAATGAGAATTAAAATCCAGTTAATAATTAAATAACCTTTTTGACGGTACTTTGATATTGAATTACATTCAGCTTGTTAGTTTCATTTCATTACATTTCAAGTATTATATGCCCAGTGTCCGGTGTGTAATGTTTTATGAAATGCACAAACTATAAAATTACTCGATGCCTCAGGCGCTGTGTATTGAAGGGAAATGCGCATTTGAGACAACTTTATAACATTGAAAAAACACTCTGAACACAACTACCGGTACAACTGCAATAGCGCCCTCTACAGTCTACAACCTGTATTTTGTTTTATGCTAATCAGGGTCAACAAACTTTAAAGCAGGCTTCTCTTATCTGTTCAGTTATTCAGTATTGAAATCTTGTGTTGTATGATCATGTTAATATGCCCAATTACTGAGTTCTTTTTTTTCTTATGGCTACAGTATTTAAAAGACTGGTTACATTAGAATACCCTAATAGTTAAAAGTTCCATTCAAGTCATGTGAATTGTAAAACAGACGTTAACAATGTCTGTGCCCTTGCTATTGAATTATCCCATTGTGTTGATGAATACCTCTCTTGTTGACTGGTATCTATAAAGGTTCAGCATGGTAAAGGGTCTGTACTGATTTGTCGTAGCTTTACAGCTGGAGTCATTACAGTTGTTGCATTGCCGAGTTCCCGCGGCCATGTTGTCTTCTTCAACATTCGCGGTATTTGTCTTGTAAGGTATTTCGTAGTTAGGTAAATCTATGTTAGGACCCTCTGAGATTGGTGGTGATGTTCATTGTTGCATGTCGCACTGTCGATTGGCCTAGTCTTTTCTTCTGCCCATTCTATGCTAGGTTATGTTTCTGTCCTAAGAATATGAATGCAAGATGGAGTTTCGATCACTTCCTTTGAGCCACTGTGACAACATGACTTGACATGTTATTTTCAGCTGCATTGTTTTATTTTTTAAATAATTTCCAGCGGAACTGGCGACTTTGTCAATGTAACGTTGTTTTGTGTGCAAGTGGAATAGCTGCATAAAACACCATCTTGTAGCTGTAGATGTTTTCCCATTGTATTTAACTGTTTGTGTTATTGATTTCAGATATTCAAGAGTTTTATGAAGTAACTCTGTTGGACGGTAATAAGAGCATTGCACAGAAGACATTTGAGACGTTAGAGATCGCATCAAAGTGGGAACAAGAAACACAGATGTCTCTGCCAAGTCCTGTAAGTTTTGTACTTTGTTTTGACCCAATTCCAATTACTTTGTATCCTATCCCCTCCAGTTTTGCCAACATTTTGCTTTTGAAGTCTCTGACATCCTTGCCATATTTGCTCTATTAGAGGTGTGTGTAAAAGTTATAGTTTACTCATCCACCGATACAGTAAATGCTGTTTTTGGTTCAAGTGCGCTTTTATTGGAGATGCACTTGTAATAGAGCTAATATGGTAGTATTTTTTAAAATGTGAAACATCACTAGTCTAATCAATACCATGTTTTCCCTGGTAAATGCAAAAGCATTGCAGATAATTTGTATAATAATGCCTAATTTGCATATATATTTCGTAACTGTTGAGATAATTAACAATGCCTTCTACTGTTTCTTGCTGAACCAAAATGTTTTTGTTTTCTATAATATCATATTCCCATATTTACTTTCACCACCATCTTTTGTACCTTTTAAAACTGGTTTATGTGCATCTCTAGATAGTTTCCCAATTAGAACACGTTGGGTCAAACCAATATCAACAGAAGATATCTTACTAATATTGAAGGTGACATTGAGTACCAATAGAAGATGCAATTTCCTTTTCAGCTTTATGTATCAGAACATTGCTAGTGAAACAGAGCACAATCGTAAAAATGATTTGATCAAGCCAGTTCTAATCACATAGCTATCTAGAGATGTACATGGCCGGCAATGTTGCTGTTTAGGTGTTGAAAGCAATATGGTCATGTGAGAAACGATTTATCACAGAGTGTGATTTCAAGATTTACATTAAATCTTTAATCAGTATTTCCTGTATCCAAAACGCCTTTTTTGCAAATATGTGAATTAATTAAATTTTTGTTAAAAAGTAAAATAATTTACTTCCAGTTATAAGTATCATTTCGTTGCATAATTTTTGACTTTTACATTCTGTCGAAAGTGTGCTTTGAGGAAATGCATGTGTCACATAATTCCATCTATTAGAGTTTGTGTAATAGTCTGACACATCGTCTGTTATTTCACTTATGGGAAAATCTATGGATGCTTTCAATGGGCGATGTGTTATATCGTATATGAAATTTAGCAATATGAGATTGAGTCAGTGATTAAGTGTCTTGTGACAAATTCCCCCAAAATGACATGTAGCTACATGTATTACTATATACTGTACATCGTATATTATATTTGATACAATGAATGAATGTTATTTTACACAAACAAAAGCACAATTCAGAAGGTAAGTAATACTAAAATGTACGTACCATGGTATTGTCGGAAGACCGTTATTAGGTAGGTATCAGGAATTCCTTTGCAGTATCTACATTCATGATTATCTGAGCAGATTGGTTCTGTTGTGTTGCCGCTGTAATGTGTTGCACATGTTTCTGTTTACCCTACCAACAAAGTAATTTTGATATTATTAAACACTACTGATGTTAATCATCTGTTTCTGCACAGACTGTGTTAATAATATTCTTGAGTTGGTTATTCGCGAACTTCATAATTACAAGCATTCTAGTCTCCCTCACTGCACCACAGTGAAACTTAAAGTGCGTGTGAAATGGCTGCTATTTTCACGCCTAAAAATATCCATTGATACATAAATATTATTAATTTTTATGTTTCTAAGCATTAATTATTTTTTTAAGTGAAAAAATGTGTTTTAAACTCAATCTACGGCAACTTTATTTTTGTGTATTTTAAAACGAGGCTACTCATTAGCTTCTTATTTGCATACAGAAATTCCCCTTGCATTGCCGATACGTGTAAATAAGGCAAATTTCTTGTGCAGTTTTCTCGTCTTTCACTTTCAATTTTCACTTATGTACTTGTTCGTTGAGGATGAATGGACCATAATGAACACATAGTATAAATTTTTGTTGCATGGGGTTGAGTTAGATGCGAAATATGTCCGTTCTGGTGTAGCTGGTCACAGTGATCGTCACCGACGCACATTTGTACACTGTCGTTGGACAAAATAGAATTTGACGTTGGAATTATCTCGTTATTTAGCAGGTTACTAGGCACGTCACTACACTGTTTTATTTCATCGATCGTCTGAGTAAAACTTTCAAATTTAAAATAAGAGAACATATTTTGACATTCTAAACAATAAAACGACAAATCACAGTTACTAAATAAATGACAGCCGCGTGGAAATAAATTGAAATTTTGTTGAAATAGGTGAACGCGTCGGGTCACAATGAGGGCAAGTGCGTTAAAAGTGGCGTTTAATTGGATAACAAAAATAATCGAGATCGACACACATACAGATAAATTCAGAGTGGATTCGAGTTAGCGTGATCCATGGCGTGATTGTCATAATTATAACATCATATTAACACTTTATTTGGTGGAAACACATTGACCAAGCCCGGATTCTTATTTCATAAATTATTACGCAGATCAAGGTAAAAGGAGTTAAAAAAAGAACTGAGGTGTGAATTCGACATTCAACACCAATCACCAAACAATTCAGAAACTTTTAGCCTTTGAAAATGAAAACAGTTAGCAGTGTGTAAGGGCTGTGTAATTTCCTGTTTGTCCGACGCTTCGTTTTCGTGTCACTGTCAAAATTATTGCTACCTTTTACTTAACAGGGACTAAATGGTCTCTATAAAACGATAATCAGGATCGCAAAAAAGTCAACTGATTTGAAACACTTGCCGGACGTCTCTCTCTCTTCTGAAATCTGCCTTGGTGATCATGGTCCGGAATCTATTTCTTTCAAAAGTGTTGCGCCAGGTTTATGTTGTCGACGTTTCTCTTTAAACCTAGTTGTTTTTTCATGTACGAGGACAGTTCCCCCCCCAAAAAAAGAATCTGATGTTAAGTGGCTTTCATCCACTGATGTCGCACCTTCAGATCGATTAGAAACGTGTGAATACTTACACTATGACTATACATTTCACTGCAACTGCCCACAACACAACATCTAAAAACTCTCTCAAAAAAATAAAATAGACAAAAAAAAAAAAAAAAAAATGCCGACCGAAAAATGTACATCGTTTAAAAGTATACTGAGCGACCAGTGTTATTACGGCTCAGGGGTATGACTTCCTCACACATTTTGGCATTTGGTGGCGCACTTTCGGCGAGAGTCGGAAATCCGGAAACAGTCGATCGTTTCAGGATAGGTGGGCGTGGCTACAACACGAGAAATATCCCAAATTTACTTGGATACGAGTAATCATTTTCGGCAAAAAAATCAATAACTGCCCATTTCAGTGGGACACAATTCTAAAATGGGAAACGTGGGGATGGGCATTGTACAGGCACTTTAAGATTACTTGTGTGAGCGCCCTCTGTGTTGGATTTAAAAACAGGAATATCTTGAATTCAGAATGCATGGCTCACACTGTTGTTATTCTTCAGATACTGATGTTAAAACTTGAAGGGTTATTTCACTTGTACATTGACTGTAGATACATCTGTACTCCATTTCAAACTTGGCTGGTTTTTACTAAAATAACAGGCTTTGTTATTCTGGTACTTGTGTGCATGTATTAAGTTAGAATTAAAAGCATGTTGTTTCTTTCCTATGGTGAAACCATTAAAGATGTAGTATTTTTTTTGGCACATGTTAATTAAAATATTATAGAATCTGTAAGTATATTTAATTATTCTATAGAGGTCTATCATAAATGGAACATACTTGAAACAGTGGTCAAAATTAACCCACATTGTTGTGATGACTAAATTTGCACATTGTCATGTATTTTAATAAATCACACAGTTGAGTATGAAATAGTTTGGGAACATCTTTAGATGCTTACGCATCTACAATTTACTAGATGTCGAAACAGTCACAGATTTCATAAACAAGTAAAAAAAAAAATTGTACTGGTAGTAGCCTCACTATTTGTCTTAATTGACATCAAAATGATCAATCAATTTTAAAGATTTAATTATCAGAATGTAAAAATAAACTGGTGAAAATGTAGAACTCGTGGCAGCGCCCTCTGTGTTGGGTTATCAAAAACAAAAGGAAATACTTTGCATGCCATCAAAATGAAATCAGTATGCCTTGGTAATTATTAACCAATTTTGTTGCATTTTTTCAACTTCTAGTATATAAATTACAGTGATGAAATGAAACAAGGCCAATAGTATAAATGACTGCTACGCTGCCCACATCATTACAAGTGCTTTATTAAACTAGCTGTGTGTGTTCTGCAGTAGTGTCAAACATGCTATTATCTTTTTGAGTATAACCATCAGTATTGTTAAGTGCTTTATATAGTGTTGATTTGTAGGGTGTATTTCATATCGTTTTATTTGACACTTGTACCATAATGGGCCATTATTTAATTTTGAAGTGCTTCCATAGTGGCCAGTTGGGTCAGTATTTAATTTTGATGTTTTGAGATGTGTATCAGGAAAGTCATTTTTGCCTTGAGCTATGATCAGGTCATATACTTGTGTATAGTTTCTGCAAATTGCAGTCCTGGTACATGCAATTGTGCATGTGGTGAGAGATATTGCTAGATTCATCGCTAACAGCTGTACACAATTGCTATTACTGTCAATGTTCTAAATACCCTGTCCTATATCAGTACGCTATTTTTGTCCTTATCGGCCTGCATGCTTTCCACTAATTAATCACAAGCCCAGTCTCTGCATAAGTTGCACTAGCCTAGGGGAGCACATGCTTTGAATGGTTTCCTAGTTAAGGGGTTCTGGACAATACGTACTGTATGTGGACAGGCGTTGTATTGATGTCAGGTGGCTTGTAGTTGGTTTCAATATCCATTGGTGGTATAACTGTACAATGTCAAGTATCAAGTAGGTCTGGACCCCAGGGTGTGTGGTGGCTGATCTAATTCACTAATTGCTATTCAGTGTATGCATTTCTTAAACTGGTACTGTTGCTTATCAGTTTGTCTCAAGAATGCAGCCTTTAATCCCAGAAACAAGTGTACAACGGCACATCAGCACATTTAGTGATATGTTGGTATGAATTTTCTGCGACAAGCCAAATCCTTGAAATTTTTTGTTTACTGCCTTGGAGGCCTG